ACATAAACTGATTCATGTTTCATCCCAGTTAGCAAAAGGAAATACATGCTGAAGATATTAACCACAATGCAGTCCCAAATGGCTATAAATACACAGTCTTGGTATCATTTAGGAGAACATGAACTAGCTTATGGACTATAAATTCTTCGGTAGAAATGGACAAGCTTCACATTAAATCTTTGCAAGATATCGATCTCCTATAGCTCCTCTGTTAGATAAAAAAGTTAAAGCCTCATCTCCTCCAGTTTGTTAAGTTCACCAGAGAGCTGACAGAAGAACATTGCGGATGTGTTTGGCTCTGCAGGCCATATTTGGCTTACAGAGACATTTTACAACTTTTTCCACCATTTCTGGTACAGCAGAATGAGAGTGTGTACAATTCCAAGCCTTCCCACCACTTCTATGAAGTGTATGTTAGTATAGAGTGAAAACAATGACTATCAAAAAGCCACACTGCATTAACAGTAAGCCCCAATGCAGTTGCACATGTTGTAACAGCTCAGACTTGGAAGCTCACTGATCTTGGAGGTCTATGAAAATATTACCACTTTTAAGCGCCATCTGCACAACAGTTACAGAAAACAGTCTAACAACTGCAATCAAGACAGCATACACAATAACACATTTTGACCATATACAATATCACATTTTGACAACATTGCATGGACTACATTTACTATAGCTATTTATTCTCAACAAAGGCAGAGACACGGTAAGGTAAGATACACATATGGTAGATGGTTGCATCCCATCCTGTTACATGATCATAAAAGCTCTCATAAGATATGAATAAGCAAAGTTATTCTTCTTCTTTGGAAGCCTCCCACAGTCATTTGCCAAGAAGAAAAAAAGGGGGGGGGGGCAGAACAAAACACCACAAGATGTATGAAGTATTCCACTAATAACAAGGAGTTTAATGCATTAAAGTACATTTAATGGACACTATGCAGAATGTATTTCTACAGTGTGTACCCAGAAGTGATCACAAAAGCTTTGTAGGCAAATTCTTTGAATACCCAAGGAAATCCTATCTGAGAATATCCATGTACATTCAAACCAATCACTGAAATGCATTAATCCTCTGTTGACAGCTGCTTAGGAGTCTGGGCATAGTCTACACAGGCATGAGTACATTTTAAACTGGCTCCTGCATGACCTGGTGAGGTTTTCTCCTTAGACTTTTTAAGTTCAGTGTAAACCTAGTCGCGCTAACCCTTCTGCCTCAAGACTAAGTTTGACTGCAGCCATTCTATAATTCAGCTTCTGTAAGGGGATTCTTAGCCTAGCATGTCATCCCTTTCCTATGATTGACACAATCACGTGATTTGGTGTTATAATGTACTTTAATGCTCTTCCTTCAAAGGTATTAAGCCATTTTAAGTTAAGCCTATGTACATCTCACAGTTCATACTTCCTGTACTTCATTTCTACAGACCTCACTCAGAAAACCATTTGGTTGAAATAGTTTAATGCAAAGTCACACAGCTGGTACTAAAGCACCAGATACCTAACTTTGTATTTAACCATTACATCCCTGTGTATAAACATTGCATAGTTTTGCCACTGAAAGGCTTGTTACTATAAACCCTTGGAATGCCACCCTCTTCCTTTAACAGGCATGATAAACGTATCTCAAAAGGATTAGCATACTTCCATCCCCGGCTAAGAAAAAGAAGCAGTAAAGTCTACACAATAAAGAATAATCTCAGCTGCTGTGCATTCCAAAGAAAGCTCCAGATGTTTGCTTACTACTGTCCTTCTGTCAGGGCACAGTTAATGGATAAACCAACCCATTGCTTCTCTCTGGAAGCCTACAATACTTATCTACAAAGAAGAAAAGTCAGATGTATAGAGGCTTCACTACTGAAAATGGAGGGAGGCGAGTGGAAGGCAGGAGCACCAATGCCTGAGTTGTGGGGCTTTTTGGTTTAGACCACACAAACTGCATTTAGAATATGCTCTGAAAAAACACTGTTCTGAGCCACCTTTGTCCATAAGCAGAATGGAAGCCTGGAAGTTCACTGATGAGCTACATTGTTGATTTGTTTATTAACCTTCAGCTGTAACATCCATCTAAGACTCATAGTAGATGGTGCAGAAGTAGCATACTTCTTACAAACCCCAGCAGAAAGGGAAGTGAACCAAAATTTATCCCAAACTCTCTTCAACACTCAAATCCTGTTTTCCTCTACAACTAAATCAGTCGTTACAGAAGATGGGAGTAAATGACAAGCAAACAGGAAAAGGGACAAGATCAACGAGATTGCCTGTCTCATTCACAAAACCTGAAGTTCTGTTTGCTTTTGCTAAACTACTCACATGCAATCTTGTTCCGGAATTCTTGGTTGTTAAAGTTTTCACGTGCAGTTCCGAGCAAGACAGTAAGTACAACAACTGGTTGAAATGAGAGCTCAGAAGGCACGACCAGGGCGTGGATTTCACCTTTCATCACTAGAGGGTGCTGCCTCCGGGCTTGCCAGGTCATGAAAAAACGAAGTCTCCTACTTTAGGGGCTGAGTAAAGCTGCCCTGCGGCTGGCAGCACTAGCCCAGGCAAACTGGAGGGCATCCAAGACATGCAGCCATCATGCCCTTGTGTCAGCTTCATATGTGTCAAACATACTGTGGCATGCGTGTCTCCTGTCAGCTGCCTCTATTGTGTTCTCCTACAGCAGTAAGGTAAAAAAGGAACAGGGTATATGGCTCAAGGGAACTACAACATCCTAAAAAGGGAGATGTATAGTGAGTGTACCCTAATATAAGATGAAAAAAAAAACAGTTACTATGCTTAACATTTACTGAAGGGGGATGGAAAGAAAGGGAGAAGTTATCTGTCCATGGTTATGTGGGCCTACAAGGGTGCCGGGGAGGGACTCTTTATTAGGGACTGTAGTGATAGGACAAGGGGTAGTGGGTTTAAACTTAAACAGGGGAAGTTTAGATTAGATATAAGGAAGAAGTTCTTTACAGTGAGGGTGCTGAGGCACTGGAACAGCTTGCCCAAGTTGTGAATGCTTCACCCCTGGCAGTGTCCAAGGCCAGGTTGGGCGACATGGTCTAGTGTGAGGTGTCCCTGCCCATGGCAGGAGGGTTGGAACTAGATGATCTTAAGGTCCTTTCCAACCCTAACCATTCTATGATTCGATGACATATTGAACCTTAAAAAGTTAGCACTGTAGGAAGTTGTATGCCAAAAAAGGGATGTTTCCAGTTTAAGCAGAAAAAAGTATCAGTTGATCAGATACTGTCTTAAAATTAACTGCTGTGTCTTTTCCTTTAAAAACAACAACTTTATAAAGTTGGGCTGACATTTCTAGACAGCTAAAAGCAGCAGCTGTTACTGTCCAGGTAAGAAAAGGAGGAGATATGATTCTATCAGTTCTGCAACTCATTTTGTTTAATGTAAAACTGTAAGAAAATTTCAAACAGATGCATCCAAACACATTCCAAACAGATTAGAAGTCAGTGCTTCTGAACAGGGGATACTAAGAAGCACTACTGGGAGGAGGGAGGCTTAGGCAGGATACTGTTTTACGTTCAGAGAAACAGATTACTTCAGAAAATAAAAGCTGAAGAGAAAAAAAATACTTATCAAAAGGAGAAAGGGGGGGGCGGTGAGGGTGGTTTAAGTGAATGCTGTAAACTTACCAGCTTTAAAGCTGAGCTCATCTTGCTCTTGGCCCTCATAGTCATAGAGGGCACGTACTCTCACTTCCATTGCAGGAGAGGTATCTTCATCAAATGGATTGGTGTCTCCATTTGCATCAGTGGAAGAAAAGGGATTGTTGGACTCTTCATCAGACCAGTCTGTAGGGTAGCTTTGGTTTTTCTCATAGCTGCTAACACTGAAAACAGATTTTCAATTATTTTTTTTTGCTCTTAAAATAGGAGACTAGAAATAGCACTAAGATACCAGTTCCCCTAATTAAGCTTAACCTCCACTCTAAGGCCTAGTTTTGAAACTTTATTTCTGGTATCTTCTCACCAATCTTTAGCTGAAAATACCTCATGTAAATAGAAAATATATCAGGGGGGAAAAAAAAACAAAACCAAAAAGAACCCAACTCAAAACCAAACCAAACCAAACAAAAAAACAAACAAACAAACAAAAAAAAGGTACCAAAGACAACCTCCCCACAAACTCCAGAAACTTTTCTACCAAGAAATCCATATAATCGACAGGATTATTTCCTTTAGAATGTCAAAGGTATGCAGGTACTAGATGAAAGGAATTATCTATTATGTTGTTTAGGACAAGACATTTAAATTTCTTTGCTGAACATTCCCCCCAGATCTCTATGAACCTCTACAATAGCCTTCACCATGTTTTGCATGTTGCAATCCACCCATAGATAAACTTCATTAGTCTGCAACAACTTGATCATTGAAAGAAAAGTTCAGTGTTGAGCATGCACATGCTATAACACCCCTAGTGTGTATACTGAAGTAACAGGCAGCTGTTTGAGAAGGTCCTAAACAAAAAGAAAGCAATCGTAAAAGCAGATTTATTCAGCAAGAACAAACAGAGCAGTAAAGCTCCAGAAGCAGTTTCACTAGCAAAACCTGTTGGTTTTAACACTTTACAGAACTGGTAAAGGAAGGAAAAAAAGCAGCAGCAGTTCTGTTAGCAACTGCCAATAACCCCAGTAGTTTCAAACCATAGATCAAGGCAACAGATATGGCATCTGTTAGGAAAGACAAGTTAGGTTACAGTGTTGCTTACATAACCGCTTAAAAGGACTTCATGCACTGACCAGCATAGTGTTACAGAAACCAAAACCAGAAAACCCTGGATAGAGAAAGTGCAAGTGTGAAAGCAATTAAAAAAACAACATTTCACCAACTTTTTGATCTTATTGTCCTCCTTTTCACTGACAGTACTCCCAGTATCTTCTTCATCTTCAAAGGGATTGTAACTTGATTGTACTGACTGCACTGTGTTACTCTGGACACTAAGACTGCTAATTTGGAAAAGAAAGAGCATTATGGTGACCCTATCTGTTTCAGAGAAGAACACTGACAGGTGTCCCACTATGCAGTTTCTTAGCAGACCCCTTCTCCAGGAAAAAACAAAGCTACAACCAAACAGAAACCAAAACATCTATCAAGTACAGCTTAAGACTCAAGAAAGTTCGTAAAATGTCATATACGATGCATTCCTCCAGAATTAGAATATCCTTCGTGGACCATAATTCCTTTTTCCTACTGCCTGCAATAAAAGGCAGTATGATCTTTCTAGCCAGTTTCTTTCTTTCTACAGCAATTGATGTTAACAATTGTATATTAATCACATCCCAAATACTGAAGCGACTAAATGTTTTGCAAGCTAAGATTTTAAAGGTCTTTTCCAACCTAGTTGCTTCTATGATTCTAAGATTTCAAAGTATAATTGTCATTTGTAGACATGGGAAGATAGCAACACACTAACTACCACATTAGCTACAGAAAGTTCAGTTTCTCGTTAAGTTCTCTATTAATTACCAATGGGAAGAGAACTATAAAATGGAGAATAATTCAAAAAGTATTTTGTAAGCTGCAGAAACACATCACTAAAGATGTTCACAAATAATTAACATTTGGTTGGACAGTGACTTTTTGATCCTGTAGAGCTTAGTGTACTTGAAGATAACAATCCTTTCCAATTAGACTTTTTAGGCATGAAAAAATTAAATACCTGCTATGTTTGTTAGGCTGTGAAACTTGATCTCCTGTCTGATTAATACCAGTTAGAGTCACTCCATCAGAAGCCTTCTTTTTTTCTCTTCTACTGAGAGTGCGGTTCAGATCTGCAGACCACTCCTGTCAATAAATGTAAAGCATGATTGAGAAATCTAATTGAACACTCGCATTTAATTTTCAGACTGAGTTAGGGAACATGCATTTATACATACAACAGCACAAATAATATGAAAAAGATACGTTACTTTAAGTGTTTCAGTTATAGTTCTCATCTAGTTCGTACCCTAGCAATGCAAAGTGGTATCTGTGCTACTTGCAAAATCCCAAGGTTACCTGTACTACCCTGCTTAGTATTCTGAACACCGTGAAAAGACTTAGAGAATATCAGACATCTGGGGAAATCAAAGGAGTTGGCCAGTGCAGCTCTTTAAAAGTTGTACTGAGAGGGCCCACTGTTTTAAATAACGCCAAGATATCTGGCTTTAAACGGTAAACCTTACATTTAATTTAAGAAGGTACTACAACCTAATTTAAGACAGGACTTACTTCTCAAGAAGTGCTCCAAAAATGACCTACAAAGAAGCTAACTTTAAACTTGTGTATCACTTCTCCTGTCCCTACGATTTGAGCCCTTAAGATACTTCACTCTACATTTAGTGAAACTTAAAAGCCATCCATAAGAATTAAGGCTCAAATCAACACAACTGTTGACAAGACTCATGATGCATTAAAGCATAAAGTATCTCCTCCTTGATGTTTTGAACCATTCAGATGTTTCAGCAGCAGACAGGCAGGCATGATGAAGCCTAAACACAACTTCTACCTATCAAGTCAAATTAAGCTGCCTACTTATATAAAGCAGGAACCAACAGAGAACAAACCAGATCCAAGTAAATATCCTATGCTTAGACATGTTTGATCTCAGAAGCCTTAAAAATAAAAAAAAAACAAAAAAACAAACCAACCCAGTCAGACGATAGTTTGCTATATAAAAGATACCATTTGAAATAAGTATTTTTAATGGGAAACTAAGGTTTTGCAAGTTGCTGTTAGTATTGATTTATACATCTAGCACAGTCAGTCAGTCTTCAGTGATTTCTGGCCAACTTTTCAGACATACCTCTTTGTTTTAACTTTGTACAAATACATATGGGATTTCTGAGTTAGCATAGTTTAAAGACCACTGACCTAAGCGTATCTGCAGTTTATAATGCAATTTCATATTCATTTGATCATGAGGTTGCTTTGGTTTTTTACTTACATCATCCTTGTAGCATGTAAATGAGAAAAAAAAATTGATTAGGAAACTGGTAACAGTATTTAATCTCTTAATTATAATGTTTATGAAAAAGGATGATAATTTCCCCACATAGAAGTAATTGTAGTTTAGCATTTTGGGCAAAGCAGTTCTGCAGTACTATTACAAGTTTTCTTCCTCAAACCTTCTAAACTAAAGTTGGTCAGTATTTTAAAAACAACTATTATTTTCCATTATGGTTAATAAGGGAAGAATGAACACTCCAGAATTGATGCTTCTGCTCCATTAATTTAAACTTGGAAATTATTGCAACTAAACCCATGATTCTGGTCAGACAAGCTGGTCTCAATTCCAGCTATGTGATACTCTGGTAGCAAGTTCTGCACTGATACATTTTGTTACTCCTTTCCTGTGGTAGTCAGCAGAACACTACTTAAAAAAGCTTCCTGTCTTTTGAAGATGGCATTCAGCAATAAAATTACCAACTGGCTAGAGCTGTTCTAATGTAACAGCATTGAAAAAAATAGTTAAGATTTATAAATACCAATTTTCAGGACTGATTGAAGTATTTATTTCAAACTTTTTCCACAGTCTTTGCTGTCTACACTGTAATCACCTGCTAACACAGCAAGGAGATTCAAACTGAAGTCTGACACCAAAGGGGAGAAGTAAAACAGAGGATAACACATTCAGCTGTCAGGGGTGTATCAACTAAACCACGGCTTACTCATTACTTCAGTAATTTTTTAGGTTAGAAAACAAACCCAAACCTCACTATAGGAGTTTTCTGGTTTACCCCTTTACCTTTAAATAGGTGCCTGATACAACTAACCTCAAAAAGCTGGGAGATAAGGACAGCCCAATGGAAATCAAGAAATGAAAACTATTATGACTTGTTAGAACAACAAAATTCACTGCTAGAAGCCTGAATTTAATTGTTACACCAGAAAGGATATGACAGAGAGCAAGCAGAAAAATAGACAAAACAAGTCTGGGTTTTTAAGTACTGTGACCTTACCTCAAACTGAGGCCAGTTCATTGACATCCCTGGACCTTGATTAGCTCTAAACCACCTCAAGTCTTCAACAGCATCTGCTGTTTTGATATTCTGCTCCAGTTCACGGTAGATGTTTTTGTAACTGCAAAACAAATTTGTCTTCAAATTTAGAATGACATTTAGAAACATGGCAAAGCCCCTATCAGATTGAAAAAGCAAAGTAAGTTATTTTTTCAAAGTTCACTATAGTATTCAGAAAGTTTACAGCAAGACAGACTTTTTAAAACGCTAACAGACCTATCAATTACCTGTACAAAAGGAGTAGCCCAACAAGTAAGCTTGCTGAAAGTTCACAAAATCATAAAACCCTCATTTGCCAGATTTTAGAATTATGACTGTTGCATAAAGTAACTTCATTGGCTGTCATTAAATGCAGGATTTACATAAGGATGTTTTTAAATTACTGAATGCCAATCTTGAAGTTCTGTGAGTTTAAAAAATTGCCTACAAGACAGTAGAAACTGTTTTTGTGATAAGCCCATACTATTCTGTGAAAACTCCTTTTTAATCCAATGAGAATTACAAGTCATTATAAAAATAAAAATCTCAAACTTGAAATTAAATGGGTTAAACATTTTCCTATGCAGGTATAGTATCTGCTAACTGGTTTTGTTACTTTACCTACTCTGATTTTACTAATTGTTCTATTTACACAAATATCAAATATTAAAGAACCTTACTACTTTTACTTGTCTTTGGTCTAATTGTTTTTCATTAAAGTTGAGTTCTCATAAGCAAAAAGTATTTTACAGAAAAGGAGTCATGTTGCAATGAAACTTTGATCCTCTGATCCTAAACCATGCACATGATGTATTTGCTCTACAGACAATGACTACGTATACAACTGCATTTGTATACAGTTGTGTTATACAAAAAAGCCCAGTATGGTGCAATATGGAGCTCAGAGTATAGAGATATCTTAACACAACAGCCACAAGGCTTAAAATATGAGACACCGAACTGCTAGTCTGTATTCAAGCTAGAGAAATTTGGGAAAACCCTTCTAGACAGATAGAAGCAAGTCACACAAATTTAGAATTTGAATTCGCTAGGGCTACATGTCAAGGAGTCAAATTTTCTTAAAATATATTTCCAAATTTCCCAAATTCTATATATTGCTTGACTGCTTTAATATGTATATAGTATGGGGGGTGTTTCCCCCCACTGTCAGCGTTTCTTTGAATGTATTTAAACAACAGAAAGGCTTGTATTTTGAGAAATAGAATAAATCATTTGGAATGACTCAATAGCCATTGGTTAAATCAACACTAAACTGGAGGTCTACATCTGTAGAGAACAGGGCAGGGCTATTTTCTGGAGTGTGCTCTTCTGCATTATTAGTCTTAAGAAAGTTAAAAATCAGACTTTGTTTGGAGATTTGTTCTACACTTCGTTCTTTGGAAGAACAAAATACGAGACATGCTTTATACCTATGACAGTATAAAGAGCAGACTTTAAACTTAAGATGGACAAGAGTTCAGCAATGGTCAACCAATGGATCTTTAACATTTTTCTCCTAGTTAAGATAATTCCTTCAGACTGAGCTCTAATACTTAAACAATAAATGTGTTTATACTACAAAGGTCATGCTGTCTTGCACAAACAAATTCTAGTTTGTTTTCCAATAAACATGCCAGATACATAATACACCAAAACCCTCCTTTCCCAATCTTTGATCCAGCATTTTTTGATTCTAAGCTCTGAATCCTTTTGATTTTGGCACACATTTGATGGTAAAATGCATTAAGAATGAGGTTTCTTGGTTCATTTAACACTGGGTTAAATAAAACTACCAATGTTAGGGACAGATGCTAATCTGATTTTAGACAAAACAAAGGATTAAGCTTTTTCACTTACACTTTAAATAAATTGATGCAACACATTAGAAACAAACAGATTTCAAACTCTACTTGAAGCGTCGCTTACTTCTCATTGAAAACTATTCAGCATTAATTTTGAAGTCTTACAGTTTTACCTTGCAACATTAGACAAGTCAAGGTGTTTTTGCACTTCCAGTAACACTTCTCGAAAGAAACGTAAACGTTTTTCCTCAAACTGCTGACACTGTTCAAATACCTGCTCCATGTTTTCCATATACTGAGGAGTGGCATTATCTAATTCTTTCAGTGATTTTTCATACTTCTCTTTTGTCTACGGGTGGAAAAACAAACTGTTAGCAATATATTTTATGACTATCTTACGTAACAGACCTATCAATGTAGTAATGGGCAAGATTTAGACCAGAAGTTCCCAAAACGCATTCTTTTCATTACCACTGTCCCTATGCTAGGTCACGATGAGAGTTATTTACCAAAACTGCAGAATAGTTACAATAAAGCTCTAAACCTCTTCTCTGGCTTTTTAAGAGAAACCACGAGAAACATTAATGTAATACTAAGGATAAAAACCAAGAAGCTACAGAGCAAGTCAGCAAAAAGTCTTTCAAGTTACAGGTCGCTTACTTAAAGTTCTCCAAATAATTCCCAAGTGCTATCTTTTCTTCTTCAGTATATTTACATAGTCCACTGTGAGTTGTGACAAAACCCCCAAACGTTGTATACAACCCTGTGACCATAAATTGCATCGCTGTGAGCTCAGTTAACAGATAGAACCTCAGATGCTACCTAATTTACAGAAATAAGTCAGACAAACATTAAAAGATTCCACTCAATGTAACATCAGTCCTTTGGATGACAGAACAGCATTCTCTCAAAGGGAAAAGATATCTTTGAAGAAAGTCACACAAGAAAAGCCTCTCTGTACCAGACTGCTAAAGAGAATGAATGCAATAGAATGGCATTTCATAAAGTGTATTTGCTTTTATTTAAATGGATATCAGCTTTCTTAAAATAAAAAAATAATGCATTCTGCAGTCAAGAATGGCTACAAGCTGAGATGTTGTCAGCATCTACAAGCTGAGATGTTGTCAGCAAGTTTTAAGCACCTATCTCACAGCATCTCAAATGAAATAACTCAACCCTCACTACTAAATGAGTAGAATGCTGTCCTAGAAGTTCACTGTCTTACTCTGCTTCATTCCTTGCTAAAAGTATTTCCATGAAATAGAGGCAATACATTATTCGTTCTTCACAGAAGAACTTGGCAATAACATATGCTCTGGAGAGAACACAACATTTTGGTAAAGGACTAACTGAAAGTGAGCTACACTGTCATCCACGGCAAATTCAGGAAGGGAAAAAAAAAAAAAAGCTTAAATATGCACAAGCTATAGGTTAAAATGACTGCATACAAATGGTATGTTAGCTTACAGTATACCTTTAGTACATCTTGTTTGCTTCTCTCCACTTTGTCTTGTAATTTCTTAAGTTGTTCAGGATTTAGTGCTGGATCAGCTTTGCTGTTTGTTTCCCTGGATATAGCCAGTTTCTCTTCTTTGCAGGCCGCATGGTACGCTTTCTTTGCTGCTTCCACCTACAAAGTTGATTTGATTATTTGCATCTGGGACAGTTTATACAACAACCATCAACTGAATCTTTTAGCCTCATAATCATGTTGCAATGCCCAAATGTCACGTTTTGTTTAAGGATGTTCTCTCTTTTTTTGAATATATTTTTTTTTTTTTAATTTAGGCCAAGGAACAAACAGTACACACGAATCAACATAAGGACATCACTGCAGGACTTATGAATCAGCATTCTCTCAGCATAGAAAAAATGTCACTCATACAGCTTAGAGAAGTGTGGAACAGAGTCAAGGAAAGGTTACAGAAAGCTCCCACCAGAACATTTTTCCTGATGCCCATGTTCTCCTGCTTCCCTTCTTCTATAAACCTGTATTTAAGAATAATATTACATGACAGAGAAAAAAAAAAAACAAACCAAAACAAAAAACCACAAAAAACCCCGAACACTTTCTTCCTGCTTATTTCTTTGAGCAATTTTTAACTTTGAAATGCATGAGATCAGATACTGTTAAAATTATAAGTTAAAGTTCACTTTTCCCAAGTTTTCACTGAAGTCACCAAGATTAGGAAAGACCAACAGAAAAATACTTATTTTCAGAAGAGGACAGAAAGCAAGAGATCTCTTTAAGAAAGGAGGGTCCAGCAGAGAGAATAGGGAGTTTACTCCCTTGTAGAGTTTTGAGACATTAATATATTGTACACAGGATATCTAATATATAATCTACTGCTGTACCTCTTTCAGCTTTTTTGCCCAGGGTTTCTGAGCTTTCCTAAATCCATCTTCTGCTTCTTTGGTTTCCTTAAATCCTCCCATCATTTGCTTATGAAAGGCTTCCTTCTGCCAGTTCTTGATTTTTTCAAAGTCTTCATTCATCAGTGAACCTTTTACTTCTAGATGTAGTTCACTCACTTTTTCAGCTTCTGACATAAAAGCACACCAAGCCCTTTCTACTGTTCCATACTGTGGGCCTAAACACAACAGAAAGTGTCATTCTCAGTAACCATCACCCACATGGAACTTATATTCCCAAGAAACTACCTGAAGCTATTGATTTATATTCACTTGTAAACAGCAATATTGATGCAAACCTAGAAAAGGGAAAAGTTGCTTTTCAGATAGATTCAGAATGTTACAGATTTTTACACCAGAATAATATTCATTTAGTCTGGCCTCCTTCTCCCTGTACCATGATGCTCAATATTCCACTTATTATCTCCTTTATGAGCTGCCTTCAGTTTCTCAACATGGATAACTAGGAAAGGACAAACTATATCAGAATATATTAAAAAGGTACCAGATTAGCCTCCATTAGACCAATGACTAGCTCTTTTATTACTAGTCTTTCCCCCCCGCAACCACCGCCCCTTCATTATTCAGATACACTTTCAAACTGTGTTTTATACCAGTAGTTACCTAGAAACAGCTGGTTCTCCAGCTGGATTCCAGAACTGAATCTATCTGGATACCTCAACACTGGAGGCCGGATTCATCTGCTTCAAGTAAGAAACAAGCAAAACCAGCAAAGGAGCAGGGCTTTGTTTGTTTTAAATCAATGACAGCTTGGTCATTTGACACATTACTAAGGCTTTGGCAAAGGCTCAATTACAGGCTAAAAAGTACACAATTTCTACATTGTACTTACCAAAGTAAAGATATACAGAAAGCATTTCAGAAAGGTTTCAGAGTACATTACCTTTTTCCACAAGTTGTTTCCACCTTTTTGCCCATTCTGTAAGCTGTTGAGCATAGACCTTCTCTATTCTTGCCCGCTCGTGAATACAGTTCATAAGATCATTGCAAAGTCTGTGACCATCATCAATCCTTTTTACTGTTCGCTTGTAATTTCCAACCTATGAAGAAACAAATATTTAACAACTCCTGCTTAAAAGCTCTGAAATAAATCTCTAACACAAATACTGTTACCTAGGAGCAAGATAATCTACTAGCAGGAATTAATCAGTTACAGCATAAGGTATTTTTTAATTAAACTTAAAACCTTGCTGAAATACCACAGAGGTTGCAAGTTCTGTAAAAAAGTTGTTAATTTTAAAAGTGAAAGCTTGTTTTATTAGTCCTACAATGTAATTATGTGCAGTCATCACAATTGTTCTGCATTATTATTGCTTGGTAAGGTTTTAGATAATCAAGATATTTAACACAAACACAGTATTTCCCTCTTCCATGCTTATTATTAAGTATCTAAAGCCTTAAGATTATGTGTTTAATCTTTCAGGATTAACAAAATTTCAAAGACACACAAAGGAGTATTGCAACATCTGTCAAGCATAATAATAGCTTTTGTTTAAGAATGAAGTATGGAAAAAGCATAACCACTGTATATACAGCAGATATCAGATATGCCCTTTGTTACAGCTGGGCTTCACTGCTGACAAACTAGATAGCAACTATTTCATAGAATCACACAATGGTTTGAGTTGGAAAAGACTTTAGAGATCATCCAGTTCCAACCCCCTGCCATGGTCAGGGATACCTCACACTAGACCAGGTTGCTCCAAGCCCCGTCCGACCTGGCCTTGAACACTGCCAGGACACTGCCGGGGATGGGCCAGCCACAGCTTCTCTGGGCAGCCTGTGCCAGTGTCTCACCACCCTCATAGTGAAGAATTTCTTCATAATGTCTAATCTAAATCTACCTCTTTCAGTTACAAAACTATACTGTAGTATTTAATGTGGGAAGATGCTGACAGCAATAACATGGAGTTCCCATATCTAGAACTAACTTGAGAAAAAAAGAAAGAAACAGA